CCCGTCTCTCTCCTCTCTCTTTTGTTCATGGAAGAAGTAAATAAATAAACTTAAAACAATGTTGAATTCATTGTCCAGTGCTGTCATAACAAAGTATCACCAACTGGGAGGCTTAAAGAGCAGAACTCAGTTCTCTCACAGTTCTGGAGGCTGGAAGACCAAAGTCAAGATGTCGGCAGGACACACTCCCTCTGACGCTGCAGGCAGCCCTTTCCTTGTCTCTCCGAACTCCGAGCCTGGGTGGTGTGCTGACAGTCTGCACATGGCTTGGCTGGCAGCCACGTCGCTCCAGTCTCTGCCTCAGTTGTCATGTGGTGATAGCCTTGTGTGTCTCTGTCCCTGTGTGGTCGTCTTCTTATAAGGATACCTGTTCGTATTGGATACCCCAGCCAGACCTCACCTAACTAATTACCCATCGTGACTATGTTTCCACAGGAGGTCACAGTCTGAGGTACCAGGGTTAGGACTTCAACACGCCTCTTTTTGAGGGGGTGGGGACACAATTCAACCTCTAACAGATGTCTAACTTAATAATCAGTCCTGCTGGGCCAGCCCCATGACCTACTGCTTAAGGGAGCCAGATCCCACATGGCTGGTCACAATTCAAATCCTGGACCCAGGCTAAAACAAGCCTCAGGTGTGGGGACCAGCAGGTGGCACGGTGGTTGAGGTGCTGGACTCCCACAAGGCCAACGATGATTCGAGTCCCGGACCTAGCAGCTCTCTCTTTCTCTCCTATCTCTCTCTGGTGAGCATACATGCCCTATAGGACATTTTTAAAAACAACAACAAATTAAATAACAATTTAAAATAATAATAAATTAAATTAATAATTAAAAAAAGAGCCAGGCATGTGTGTAAGTGTGCCCCTAATCATGACAGGATGGAGAAATGGAGGAGGAGGGATTGTACGTGACCACACCTCATCTTGGGGGTGCTTTCTCCCTCTCCTGTCTCTCTGTCTCTTTGACAAGTACACGTACTATCTGACCAAAATAATAAGAATAATAATAAGCCCTTCTATGCAATGGCATTTAAGGGTACCATTGATTTAGCTCTCCAAATGTGTGTAATTTACCCTGATACGGGGAACAGCTGAAAAATACTCTGTCCTCCAAGCCCAGCCAACTCTCCCATCATCCCTGACGTCTCTAAGGCCTCACGACCCAGTCTGCTGTGCGTAATCTTGACTGTTAAAAACTATCAAATGTGGAATTGAGTAATTTTTAGGTTTCTAAGAGGCTTTGCTAAATGCATGTGTGTGGTTTGATCGGGAAGTTGCGGGCTGATGCCTACGCACAGAACTTTCAACATTAAAAATTCAGAATCGGTGAGCTCTCAAAAATCTATAGTTTGAGGTACGCCGAATCACTCCATGTCCCTCCTTACCCCAGGCCGCTTCGCCTCCCTGACTCCCACCACCCAGTGCTGGAAATAGTCTCATCTTGGGTCACCTCCAGTGTTCCCAGAACCCAGGCAGGAGCTCCGGTCACCTCTCCCAGACTCACTTGAGGGTGGGGCGGCAGGAAAGATTCACGTTCCAGGGAAAGAAGACTTGATCGGGGAAGTCTGCCTGACTTTCTATTTATAAAGGCAATCGTTCATCCACGAAAGTCTCCCAGCCCAGGCTCGGACTTAACACATGAGGAGGGGTCGGCCTCTATCCTGGAGGTGGCGGGGTGTCTGAGGAGCCAGGGAGGAGAGGCTGTGCAGGGGCGAGGGGAGAGCGCCAATCTGGTGAGCTCAGCTGGGCCTCGTGGAGCTGATGTCCTTGGGCAGTACAACAAGGACAAGAGCACCCGCGTCAGAGGGGGTTTCATGTGTTAGCCACAAGGGGTGTCCTCGGGCAAGACACTCTGACTCCCAGTCTCAGCGTCCTCGTCTAGAAAACACGCAGCCCTCAGGAGTCCTGCCAGGGCAGGGGAGGACTAAATGAGATCACTACTGTGAAAGCCCACCACGTGGGCTCCACACACAGTAGGTGCTTGGCGCACAGAAACAAAGGAGGAAAGCCCTCAGTGCTCAGCATGGTGGGATCGAGAAATCCCCTGTTTCTCTCAGACAGGAGCCTGGCTACTAGGGATGACAAAATCCCTCGGCCCCCAGAACTGGCCGGCCCTTTGTCCCACAGACAGCGTGTCATTACATAGACCCCCGTTTGGGGTGGGAGGGGACTCGAAGCAGGCAGACCAGCAGTCAGGAGATTCCAACAGGGCACTGCCTCCTACATTCCCTGGGTAGCCCCCTCTAGCTGCAGGATGCCAAGCCCAGGTCGCAGGGAACTCCAGGGCCCGAGTCTGTGCAGCCCTGAGAGGCAGAAATCACCACCAACTCAGCAGATGAAGAGACTGAGGGGCAGATAGGTATGAAAACTTGCCGGGCCCAGGCAGTGAACAGCCCAGCTCAAGTGTAGCAGTCAGTGTTCTCTGCACCTCACCATGCTGTCCCAGCCCTGGTCCTGGGACTCTGCAAGGGCAGGGGTGTGCCCAGAGCCTAGAATTGTGCCCAGATGTTGCAGAAAGAACGAATGTGGAGACTAAGGAAAGGCCAGCACCAGGCACCAGGCCAGCACAGCAGCACCGTGGAGATCACCCAGTTCTCTTCCAACAGGGGATGGGGACACCAAGAAATACCCAGAGACCCGCGGGGGTCAGGAGAGGGAGACTCCTGGCAGGCACTCTGACCCCATATCCTAAAACTGTGGAAAAGACAAGAAGGAGGCAATCCCACAGCTTAGTGGTTAAAAGAAGCTGGATTCCACATGGCAGACTATGGTTCGAATCCCACCCCAGTGGCAACTTGAAAAAGACACAGGGCCTGACAGGATGGAGAAACAAAGAAGGGGTATGGAGTGACTATGCCCCACTAGGGGTGCTTTCTCCCCTCCCCCTCTCCATCTCTCTATCACTCTTTGGTGAGTGTGCAAGACCTCTGACAATTAAAAAAGAAAAAATTGGCCTGAGACGCTGAGCACCCCAGAAGCACAGGCTATTGGGGTGGGACTGCTCCTGAGTGGACCAGGGGGAGAAAAAAAGGGAGGCCACCATGGCATGAGTCACAGAGCAAGGCCAGGCAGGAGCCAGGCCAGCACAGGTGGGACAAGGCTGGGCAGGTCAATGCTAAGCCCAGGAGTGGCCTAGACCCAGTGCCCCCAGAGAGCCCTGGTCTTCTCCCTGCCCAGTGTGTGGCCTCCTCTTCAGGCAGTGGCAGGCAGTCAGCCCAGCCAGTTAGAAGCACACGAGCCAAGGTCAGGACAGGAGGTGGAAGGGAACCGGTGAGCAGGAAGCACTCCAAAAGGGCACAGGGCCGATGGTGGTTCGGCCGTAAAAAGAACGCTCTGCATGGCAACTCCACATAGGAGGGTTCCCAGTTCAAGTCTAGAGACCTCCCTGAGCACGGTGGGCACACGTATGCCCATGTCTAGGGCTGGCTGAAGCTGGGACTGGACCATGGTGTCAAATCTGTTGGAGTTGCAGTCTCTCTCTCTTGCTCATGGAAGACATAAATGAATACATTTAAAAAATAACAATAAAGTACACAATTTAATAGTTAGAAAAGGGAGAAGCAGATATCACACCATCCCCAAAACAGCCCTAACCATTGGACAGTGGGGTTAGGGTTAAGACGGACCCTTCAGAAATGCTTACGAATGAGTGAATGAGGAAAGGCAGGCAAGAGAAGGCGTGGACTTCAATAGCAACCTTGGGAGGGGACAGGAGACGGTGTCAGGGAAGGTCTGTCCAACTCTCCTCCGGCCAGCTCTGCTCCGCCCAGGGCTCCTGCCATGTCTTTCCACTTGGCCACACAGCCCCTCACCTCCTATGTGCCAGGCCACCATGGGTAGTCACCTCCTCGGGGTCCATACCCCTAGCCTACCAGTCTTTGGGCCCATGACGCCCACTCTCAGCAGCCCCAAGACCTGCCTAGGCCAGGCACTGGTTCCGTCCCTTCATGACCACTATCCCCACCTTCTCGCTGACCTCCAGCCTCGGCCCCACCCCTCTGGAGCAAAGCCACCATCTCAAACCCTCCTTCAGAACACTCCACTCAACCAGACCTGGGTGGCCCTTCCCAGTGTGAGCCCTCCAGACTCATCTCAATCCCCGCACCCTCAGCCCAGCACCCAGGGCTCAGTTCCCCACAGGGGACGGACTAGTTCCAGCCCCCTGACCCCTGGGTATGTGGCTTCTTGGGCCTGGTGCACCCTCCCTCTCCTCTCCACACCCCTACGAGATCACTGACTCCAGGAAACCTCCCTTTCTGACACTCCCTAAGGACGGGTGACCCAGACTCTGCACTCCCTCAGCTGATGCTGCCCAGGACTCCCTTGGCCCCAGGAGGGCCGCACAGGAAAGGCTGGCCGTCTCTGGTCACCCCAGCCTCCCCCGCGGGACCCACGCCAACGCCAACAGGAGTTTCCTAAAGGGCCTCATGAACTTGGAATCCGTGTCCCACTTGGGTCACTGGCCCTGGCCAGCCCGGGGTTAGTCTCTGGACCAGTCTGAGTGGAAGGGGTAGGTGGTGCCCTGACTTTGCCAAGAGCCTCTCACCGTTCTTCACCTCCCACTCTCCCCCCACCCCCCGATCGTACCCCAATGCCTCCCTTCCCAGGACCAGGCAGCATCTCCGGGTCGGCAGAGGCTGTTACTTTGCCCAAAGCATTTCCACTGCTACACTTTCAGGGCACCTTCTCAGCATGCCTGTCAGGTGGGCGCCAGACAGGAACTGGCTCGCTCTGCGCAAAGGGAAACTGAGGCTCAGAGCATGGGGCTTGGTTCCAAGGTCAAAGTGAGCTCCCGGCAGCGGCAGGTCGGGCTGTGACTAAAGGTGGTCCTGTTACCCTTCCCCCTCGGCGAAGTGGCACCTGAGAGCTCTGAAATGAATAAACCTTCCCGTCCCTCCCCTCCGGGAGGGCGTCCAAGGTGACTCCGCCGCCTCCGGGTCCCAGGTAAGGGTGGCAGGGGGCGCCGGGCCGGGGGATGGAGCGCCGCTCCGCTTACCCTCCAAGGCCGCCTTCCAGCTGGTGCTGCCCTCGTAGCCGGACCCCGATCGCCGCA